GTGTGTGTGTGTATATACCCATATATGGTAAGAGAAAGAGAGGGAAGTATAAAGAAAAAGAAAAATATTAATGAGTGAATCTTAGCAACATGTATATGATTTTTCTTTGGATTATTTCTACCTATCCCTCTTTATTAATTTTTAAGAATAAAAAAGTACCATCATACAAAAAGTCCTTGGGGGAGAAAGCACTTAAAGGTAAAAAAATCATTTAAAAATGAAAAGAAAAAACTAAGACAAACACATTTCTAACGTGACTGTTGCAGAATTGGGGTTTTTAATGACAAACAATTAGGAAATAAATTTTTATCAATAAGGGCAGATCAAACAAATAGTCAAAAAAAAAAAAAAGCTAGAGCTACATGTGTTGTTGTGGAACAATAGCTGACATCCAGTAAAGTGCCTAAGTTAAAAAAAAAATAGCAGTAAGTTGATCAATATGTGCTGCAAACTCCCATTTGTATTACTTTTTGAAGCACACACGATTGCTTGTAATTTTTTGTGGAAAAATATTCTTAAAAAATACAACATTAAGTTCTGTTGGAAATTAGTTGGAAGCTTACTTTTGTTTACATTTCCTAATGTACTACTTGAATTTTGTACCACAATTATCTGATCATATCAAAATATATGCTTAATTTTTTATTTTATTGTTTGTCAATAAGTTCATTGTTTCTGTTTACTGTATTGGCTGGGATAGTGGATTCTGTGTGTGTTTCATCCTCACCATTTCAGTGAACTTCAGCTGGTACCTTCAATGACCTTCAACTGGTAGCACCTGTAGTTTTGTTTTGTTTGGTTTGGTTTTTTTGCTTGAGGACTTCTCTTCTTGTTGTTTTTCTATCTGCCCAATAAGCCATAAGTGCCAGAAAATTAACACTGCCTGGGAGCAGCTCTCAACCTAAGACTGTTTTAGGTGCACATGCCCTGGCTCCCACTCCCCTCAGGTGGGGTTACTATCACTCTGACTCGTGTGTTCTGTGCACTGACTCCCAGAGAAATCCAGCAGGATTAGTGCTCAGTTGACCACAACAGTAATCTTCTTATTAACATTTAAACAACTCAAGAAATGGATGTTCACTGCATGCAATCCTACAGGTGACCACTAGGAGAGATGGAAACAAATTACAATGTTTCTAAATTAGCAGAAGTACACACCCTTCTACTACCACTCCCAAAACTAAAACAAGAAAGTCACACCAGAGAGTATTGATTTATTCCCATTCCCTGTTTTGCTCCTCACCACCTCCATCAGCATTTCCTTTGCCTCCCAAATAAACTATTTGCACTTGAAGTTTTAGCTCAAGATTTGCTTTAACCTAAACACAAACCAAAACAGCTGGTACCAGAAGTGGCCCTTAGGATACAGATTGCTGCGAGAGGATTCTGGAATCACACCACTTGCTGGACGGATGGCAACAAAAGACCGTTGCAGAGGGATGAGGTGGTCATATCCACGAACAGATCTAGCATCACAATTACCAGGACTCAACTGTACTGAACTGAGATGTGGTACAGGCAAAAGATATGCATTGGCTTAGGAAATTATCTCCAGCATGGAAGAAATATGGGAAGTGATAGTGATTATTACACTATAAATTGGTTACTGTTAAATGCCAATAACATGCTCGATAAAAATAAAAGACTCAGATCAATCAATTTTTCACTCAAGGTACAGTTTCCAGCTCCCCTGAACCCTTGCACCTGCAAGGGTGTCCCTCTCCCCTTGCTGGAAAATAACAGCCTTCCTTTGCCTAGAAAACATAAAAAGAGCTCATTTGAGTCAATGGGGACAAAAGGATTTCAGGACACTTGAATCTATAATTTAATGCCACAAATAAAGGCACAAAACACTCTGCAGAAGTTGTCACCCTTCCTCTCTATGTAATGCAGCAGTCTGGCTCTTGCAGAAACCATACCTCAAGTTCAACCAAGTATGAGCCCCAATAACAGTGCTACATCATACAGGGGATCGTTTATAAGATCTCTGATATGTGGTACAAAGTCAGTGATTTGGGGACTGAATTATTTTCTAGGCTGGATAGAAAAAAGAATCAGAAACAGGTTATGTTAATGTGTGACCAACAATCTTGTGTTCATTTATGATTTTGTCTCAAGGCTGTGTTAAACTTTCCCACCCACCTTTGTAATACAGACCGCAGGCATCTGCCCACCTAAGCACCCCTCAAAACATCACACGGATTTATTACATTGATGGCATCCTACTGATCGCAGGTTACACAAGCAATTGCTAGAATGTTGGCGGGATTGGTAAAATGCACTTGCTCCAGAAGGTGTGAGATAAATTGCACTGTTGCAATAACTTTGGACTTTGGCAAAGCTTTTATAGATTTGGTGCTGGGTAAATGCCAGCGCACCCCTTTTAAAATGAAATTCACAGAGAAATAGGATCTTGGTCAGCCTCATTGGATTTTGGAGGCAAGGTATTCCACAGCTAAGAACATTGCTGCAGCTCTTATAGCGAATGGTGCAGAAGGTTGCCAGTGTGAAGAGGGAGGCAGAGCGGGAAAGGGCTCTGCACAGATCCCAGACACAGGCTAAGCAGCTCTGCCCCTTGGACCACACGATGAAACAGACGCTCTGATGTTAAATGTTGTATTAGTAAGAAGGGAAGCAGTAGGGAGCTTATTACAATTAAGTTAGGTCTTGGAACTGAGGAGCAAGTTCATGCCATTTGCAGCAAAGAATTTTATGGCATTTGGGAAAGAGCTCCTGGCCTGTCTCAGGAACCTCATGAAGAAGGAACACTTGCACAAGGGGGATCTTGTGACCACACATCCAGGCCTGCCCCTAATAAGCTGGGTCCAGTCAGAGTCTAATACGTGAAGTTAAAAGGCAGAGCATAAATCTAAAAAGTACATCCTGAAGGTATGAACAGGCCGCAGTCCAAATGTATATAAAGAAAAGCTTCTTTTCTACTTCTCATTGAAGTAATCAGTGCCAACAGGTTGAAGTGTATCCTTCACGGCTCTCCCTATGTTCATACACACCGCATCTGTGTGTGTATTTTCTCATCACACAGGCCTTCACTTTACAAAAAACCATGACCCGTGCTGCACAAGGATCTGCAACCTGATGTTTGTCACCTAAGGTGACTGCAAACAGCAGTTCCCCCCAGGTCATTCCATTAATACCCAATTTATTCTTTTAATTGGCTGCACAACATTTTAAAGAGATAATATACTTTTATTTTCTTCAATGAAGAATATTCAAGTCATTTCCTCTATTTCTTTACCTCTTCACATAATGCAATATATGGAATCTTTATGTATTGGCATTTTTATATTTCTGCAGTCTAGATTTCTAAAAGAGGGGATTCTGAGTCAAAATTCATGTAAATTTATCATTGTAAGTGAAAACAACCAAATTGGTAGAAATAGAGCTATTCTGACTGCCAGCAGGAAATAAGGAGAGTACACAAAGCCACATAGAAATCTCCCCATCATTGGTGCTATTCATGCCCCACCTGCTTTGAAAGGCACTGCATGGGCCATTTAATTTTTCTTTATTTACCTGTCCAATAATGATACTGAAATCTTTTGCACATATTTCTGGAAATTTGCATTCCCATTTTGGCAAATTGCCTACTCATTCACTGAACCATTTACCTATTCTTTTTCTATCTGATGCAAATTTGTTGCTATTTTACAAATACTGGGAATGTTATCCCATCAGTTGGCACACGTGCACAAACACTTTCTCTCATTTCATTATTTGCCTCAACATGATGTGTAATATTTTGATTTTTCATTTGTTACTTTTAGTACTCATATCTGGTATAAATATCCTCAAGATTATACAACTATTCATCTATGTTTCCTTCTAGTTTGTTTTTACATTTATATTTTCAATCGATCTCTATTATTTTGAACCCTCCCCCCACAATGTCATAGAGAATTACTATGAGGCAGAAAACTATTCAAGAACTTAGCTATATTAATTAGTTTGATGTAACCTCTCCAAATTGTATTTTAAAAAATCAATACATTGTACCCCACAAAAGAATAATCTACATGTATATACTTAATAAAAGGAAAAAAAAGAACTTACCTATTTTTAAAAATAATCTGTGAACGGGTAGTACCAGAACTTACCACAGCTTTTAATTTCCAATCCATTGTTATTTTAACTATATATTTTGCACCAACTTCTATGTTTACCTGCCTATTAGAAAATTTTTCCTCTCAAACTTTCTCCTGAATGCATCCTTCACCTCCTTGTTCCTCAAGCTGTAGATAAGAGGGTTCAACATGGGGATTACCATAGTATAAAAGAGAGAAATCACTTTATTGATATCCAGGGAAGACCTTGAACTAGGTCCAACATAGATAAAGAAAAGAGTCCCATACAGGATAGAGACAGTGACAAGGTGAGAGGAGCAAGTGGAGAAAGCCTTCCGCCTCCCAGCAGTAGTCAGGACACTCAGGATGGCCACCAGGATGTAAGCATAGGAGACCACGATGACCAGACCAGTGAGCACCCCTACAGCTCCAGCCAAGGTGAAAAGCACCAACTTATTGATCCAAGTGTCTGTACATGCTAGAGAAAGCAGCGGAGAAATATCACAGAAAAAGTGGTTGATAACATTTGGACCACAGAAGGGTAAGCAAAACGTGAAAATCGTATGAGTCATAGTGCTTGTAAGAGCCATGGCATAAGGCCCCACTACCAGCTGCATACAGACCCGATGAGACATAATGAGTGTATACAACAAGGGCTTACAGATGGCCACATACCGATCAAATGCCATGGCAGCAAGGAGAAAACACTCCGTGGCCACAAAGAGGCCGAAGAACCACATCTGTGCAGCACAACCCAGGAAGGTGATGCCTTTTTTCTCTGCAAAGATATCACACAGCATCTTCGGAGCAATAGAAGAAGAGGAACAAATATCTACAAAGGACAAGTGGCTAAGAAAAAAGTACATAGGAGTGTGGAGTCTGGGATCAATCCATATGAGAATGATCATGCCTATGTTGCCCCCGAGGGTGATAAGATAAATCAACAGAAACGCGATAAAGAGGACAATCTTCTGATAGGGATGCTCTGTAAGGCCCACGAAGAAAAATTCAGTCACTACTGTCTGATTCTTATCTCCCATTGTTATGTTGTAATCTGTCATAAGAAAGAAAAGGAAATGTTTTTATTAAAAAAAAAAAATTAATCCCTAACAACTACGAGTAATTTTTAAGCCAATGACAAATTATTTTAAACAGGTCTGTAACAGACAACTGTCAAATATTATTAAACTGTGAAATAACATTCCTGTATACTAGATCTGAGCAGTTGTACAAAGACCCTGTGTAAACTTGAACAATTTACTCTTGATCTGTTTGGATCTCCCATCAATGATCACCCAACTATGTAACCTAAAACTGCTTCAGTTTACAAAATTATATATGAAATGAGCGTTACTGCCCATATTTCATGTTATTGTATGATAGATTAATAAAGCCCATTTAGGAATACCCTTAAAGGAATAATGTAAAAACCAATGAGATGTTCAGATACTAACATCAGATATCAGAAAAAGGTTAATCAGGGGAGTTTCTATTCTTAATGAATGATCAGTAACATCCTCATGTTATCAAGATATGATTCATGCACGTGTGTATCAATCTATTTCCCATTTCCCCTTATAAATAGATGTGAAAAAGATACACAGTTGATTGCTCTTCATTCTAGAGTAAAACAGAAGAGAATTTTTCATGCTCACAAAGGGCTGCCATTAAAGAGACAGAAGAGATTTACTCTCTGACAGACATGAAGTCAAAGGTTTCATCAAGAACCAAGACGACAATATGATAGATTGAGAGCAAAGAGCAGGAAGCTAGAAATGTCTCCCAACCACATAATTTCAATGAATGAATATGATGACATGGAAGGAATGAGAGGCCTTGACTTTCAGATAATGAGATCTGGCAAATGTTGTACAGAGACTTGTGATGGAAATTATACAGACTAAGTATCTGCTGAGCTACAATAACATGGAATTATTACAGACTTTCCCATATTTTATATAAATTTCTTTTAAGCATCTATCCTAAATTCTGTGACACAATCATCAATTATGGTAATAATACATACAAATGTCAAGTGCATAGTAATTTATGGATGGGAAACCCTCAAGAAAATGTTATGTTTGTGACTCATTAGTCAAAGAAGAGCAAGTAAAACTACATAAAATTTGTAGATCGTTGTGTAGGATAATTTATATGGAGAAAAATCTGGTTTACACATCAGAATTTCAACTAATGTCTTCTGTAAGTAAAATAAAAACAACATACCCCTGTTGAGTGTTATACTAATTAATATGTAAAGCTCAAAATATATTTTCAATTAGTTAGTAGTGACTACATCTAAATGATTTATGATTATAATTATTTGCTTCATGCTGTGGGTAGTGTATTTTCAGCAATCACAAAGACAATTCTAGGCTTATACTGAAAGCATTATTAATTGAAGAAATGTTTTTGTTTATGCTCATTCAAACACGTCAAGATGGGTGTGTGGCAATAAGGGGTAGTAATGACTGCTTCTAGTT